ACTTTGTCTCTGTTACTGGTTTTTTATATATTCTCTGGTGCGATTGGTTGAAAAGGATCCCGGAACTCTAGTGGGGAGTGAGTCTTTATGGAGTTTTTGGAAGGAATTTGCAATACTTTTGGTTAATCTATGTATGCAATTCATTTGAAATGTGTTGATGACATACTATAGTCAAATTACAAAAAAAGCAAAATATTTATCAAAACTTCAAGGACCTCAGGAATCAACAGGTTTGATTTCTTACATCCTGAGAACCCCTAGAGGTCTAACATGTATTTCTGTTTAGATGATCATTACATGAGGAGTTCTTGTTCCTAGATTCATTTTATGTTCATTTGATGATAAAATCAATTGGTTGTTTGGGACTGTGGCTTTTTCCAAGATGTTCACAATGGAAACAAATTAAAAAGTTCTTCCTGCATTTGGAGTAGCATATCTCTAACAATAAGAGGCAGATCTTTATCCATTCATTAGCAAAACCCATGTGACAAGTAAGGACAGAGTGTACAGTAGAAATTATTGTAATTATTAAGGTAAAGGTAAAGGTTCCCCTTGACAATTTTTGTCCAGTCGTGTTCGACTCTAGGGGGCGGTGCTCATCCCCGTTTCCAAGCCATAGAGCCAGCGTTTTGTCCGAAGACAATCTTCCGTAGTCACATGGCCAGTGCGACTTAGACACGGAATGCTGTTACCTTCCCACCGAGGTGGTCCCTATTTATCTACTTGCATTTGCATGCTTTCAAACCGCTAAGTTGGCGGGAGCTGGGACAAGCAATGGGAGCTCACTCCGACGCATGGATTCAATCTTATAATTATTACTTTTATTCTAAAATTGGAGTAAATAAAGAACAAGTATTCAACTGCCTCTGTGTCTTTAGTTGACAGAAAACATAACTCAGTGTCACTAAGAACTTCTGAGAAATTATCTTTCCTTCCAGTTGGAGTTAATCTGGTTTTGAAACATTACAAAATAGAAGCACAGTGGTTGAGTTTGCTCTTTGGGTTAGCTTGCTCTTAGCAGGGATCCCTTGTGTATCAGGATTTACACCCACAAATTTCCCAAAAGATTGACACACTCAGTCTGCCCACTTGAAGGGGAAAGGGCTGGGAGGAGAAAGGATTGGTAATGAGCAGAAGATATGCAACTGAGATATGTCTCTTCAGTGCCTGTTTACCTTTTTCCTCTAAGAGAGATTATGGTAGGCTACAGAAAGAGTATAGTATCATGTCTACTGTAACTGTGAATCTTGGCCTCAGATCATTTTTTTCTGATTGCTACACAACAAAGTGCACCCTTTATCATTCTAGATAGCTCTCAAGAATCTCTCTGTGTGGTGTTCACTTCAGGCCTTCTCTATGGACTAGGACTCAGGAAGCCTGGTTTTGAATCCTTGTTCAGCTATGGAAACTCATCAGAAGTTTGGAACTGGTAAAACCACTCCTTAAATATCTTAGCTACCCTGAAACTCCTATTAGGGTTGTTGTCAGAGGTAGGGTTGCCAGATACATGTGTACGAAAAGGAGGACATAGAAAGCCAAAAAGGAAGACAAAGGGGGACATATTGGGGGGGGGGGCTCTGTGCACAGGGTGGGGTGGAATTAGGTATTGGGGAGAATAGCTCTTTGATCATGGGGCAATACCATAACCATTCAACCTACTCAGTCTTGAAAGGTCAAGACTGAGAAAGTTACATTTTTTGAACTACAAAACTCAGAATCCACTGGCCACTGTGTTTTTGTGTTTTAAAAAATGTTTAAAAAACAAAACAAAAAACAAATCTACATATACACTTACTGGGCTCCCAGGACCAATGGAGACAATCTATTCCTTCCTTGAATGGAGACCCATCCCCCTTGTTTTGTTTATTGATTTTTTATTTTAATAAAAGCATAATAAAGTAAAATAAAAAGTTTAAAAAGTTGTGTGACAGATTTGAAACACTTTATAAAAACCAGGAAAGAAAACAGAAGGTGTGGATTTCTCTCAGCTTGAGAAATGCAAAGCGTGGAGAAAATGGATTTGCAGACACACACACACACACACACACACACACACACACACACACACACACACACACACACTTGGATTTGCAGACACACGCACACACAAAGCCATTTTCTCCATCTTTTGCAAATTCTCAAGCTGAGAGAAATCTGCTTGTGTGTGTGTGTGTGTGTGTGTGTGTGTGTTCCAGCTCCCACGAGCATGGGGGATAACTCTGCATATACTCCTGTACCTGGAAACACACTCTGCACATGCCCCAGGGTTGTGGGGATCAGGGCAGAAGGGGGAATAAAAGTGCCTCCTGTTCCCCGGCTTTAGGAGGAAGGAGGGACCGGACTGGCCCCTATTTCCCTGGCTTTGAACTGCCACCCCCTCCAAACCCCAGACCAGCTTCCCCTCCAGCAGGCAAGCAAGGGCACACTCACTTCACTCCTGTCCAGGTTTTCATCCATCTCTCTTGCACCTTCCTGCCTTATTCAGCTCCAGGCAGAAGCAGCCATCCACAAGTCGGGGATTGATTACCCAGGGCAGGGCCCTAAACAATCAAGCCACCTTATCTCCGATCTCTGAAAGAACCGGAGGATTTACAAGTGCCGCAACCAAGGAAGTAACAGGGAGAGGTTCGGCTGCAGGGGGTGGGGGAGGGGTGGAGATACAAAAGCAGGATATTTTTAAGTTTTTTGGTTTTGCCTGCCAGACGGAGGACATGATCCTGAAAAGTAGGACATGTCCTCCTTTTGCCGGACATCTGGCAACCCTAGTCAGAGGCCTTCAAACTGTCTTGGATGCATCCTTGTTTTAGTTTACACAATAGAGATTGATATAGGAACAAGCTATGCCCACTAAGGCCCCTCTTTGTCAAAAAACTGCTCCTGAGGGTTGGGGGATGCTATGAAACAGGTAGAGCGAGGTGTGACGCAGAGGACTGAAGTATTTAATAGAGATTTGTGGAAACTGGTTACCCCTCAACTAATAGGAAGCACTTGGTGCTATTGCAAAAGTTATACTGTATTAGATGCAGCCTTTAGAATTTATTCAAATGGACATGGGTATAATTGGTTATTGGTTCAACTCATGGAACTCTGTAGTATAACAAATAACTCTGGTTTAATCAAAACAGCAAATGCAATAGTATACTGTTTCTAATTAAGAATATGTGAGTTTATTCTGAATGCTTCTCTAGTAACTCATTTTCTGGCCCCTTTTTCAGAAGTTCATCGAATTGTGTTCACTTCTTTTGTGATTTCCATAATAATATTAGGATCTATTTTCCTAGAAGTTCATAGAGATGTAATTGAAGCTGATTTACTTGAGGGGAATTCTAATCGGATTAGATGTTAATCCGGTTTAATGAAGCTCTGCTGCTACATGGAGACATTCAGATCTTATTTCTCTGACTTATTTCATGAGAATAAAGAGCTGGTTATATTGTTCCATATTATTCATTAGGGATAATCATATCTTTTTACAATATAAAAATCATCTAAAGTACAGTGTACTACTACTACTACTACTACTACTACTACTACTACTACTACTACTACTACTACTACTACTACTACTACAAAATTTTAAAAAACAGCATGTTACTAGAAAATCTAATTAAGTCTCTGCTTTCCAATAACAAGCAAATTGTCTGTTTTGGGAATTCTAACAACCCACTAGACCCCATATGACCATCTTTTACTCTAGAATGCCCTTGTGTAGTTAGGGATTATAGCTTCCGCTTTCTGGACTGATGGAAGATCAGATTCCCACACCAGAAGGGACCCAGTGAGCTAATGGGGAAGAGCAAAGGACACGTATGAGGATTGCTGTTGCTAATGATGCAACTAGATTAAAGCCAGAATAATGCCTAGTTGCTGATGTGCACAAAGGCAAGAGGGAAATCTGATGTTCTATGGCGCATTTAGTTGGAATATGGAATTTGAAAACTATGAATCCAGGCAAAGCTAAAACAATAAAGCAAGAAATGAAATATTGAAACATTGTAATACTTGGTGTGAGTGAATTAAAGTGGACAGGAATAGGACATGAAATAGGAATGGTCAGAAAAAATGTTTTATTTTGGAAATGACAACGTCAGATGGAAGATGCTATAAAACAGGTAGAGGCGCTAATATTGAGGCAAGGTGTAGTACGTGTAGTTAGGGGCTATAATGAAAATTTTATCAGTTAGGTAACTGGAACACAGAAGTAGGAAATCAAAGCAGAATAAAACATTGTTGGCAAATTTGGCCTAGGAGTCAAGGGAATTACTTGTGGAATTCCTTGAAGACAGCAGTCTTTTTATTGCAAATATATGCTGCAGGCAACTAAACAGATGACTATCCATATGGATGTCAACACATGAGAAATCAAATAGACTATATAATTAGTAGATAGTAGTTATATTTTCTCTGTCAAAAGAAGACCAGGAGCAGACAGTGGAACTGACCAGGAGGTGTAAATATCAAATATTAGAGAAAAGCTGAAGAAAAGCACTTAATGTCACAATATAACTTAAATAACCTGGTTGGGTGGCATCAGTAGAGTTGTATCTCATGAAATCACCCCTGCTTTATATTTAACAGAGTCCCTTTAGTCCTGCTTCTGCTTTGTATCCAGTAATTCTCTTTTCCAATCTACTACAAGGGCAACATGGTAGTTTCACTTAATACCCAGCTCAGGCACGACCCACTTGTAGATCCTGACTTGTCAGTGATATTATTGCTAACAGCATGACTCACAGTAGCAAAGTGCTGCTAGTTAAGGAATCACCACTTTTGCTTCTTGTTGCACAATAAGGAGTACAAGCAGGGCCATCTTAATCAGCAGCAATTCACTGTTGTGATTTATGCTGTTGCAGCTACACCAGCATACGTAAGCAACAGGTTTCTGCCCTCTATTTTATTTGTTTTTATACTATTTCTAATGTTTTTATATTTTTATTGTATTAATATTGTTTTAATGTCTTTACTTATGATTTTCTTTGTTTCTCTGATTTCTTTTGCAGATCTTGGCAGGTAATAACTTTTGACAGGCAGCCAGCATCGTTTATCAGAATTGTTGGAACTCACAACACAGCTAATGAGGTAACATGAATAAATGAAGGCTTGCTGTATGATTCATCCCTAGATAGATAGATACAGTGGGGTCTCTACTTAAGAACGTCCCTACTTAAGAACAATCCAACTTAAGAACAGCTCCATTTGCTAAATTTTGCTTCTACTTGAGAACAGAAATCCAAGATAAGAACAGGAAAAAAAAAAACCTTTCCTGCTCTTATTTTAACCTGAGGTCATCTTAGGTT